TGTGTTGGGCCTGCTGCCGGAGGGCTTTGCTGCTGCAGCTCCCTGCCTCTGGGACACTTGCCCACACCGTATCAGTGTTAATCGAGTTTCAACCATTCCTTCTCTACAGCTACGTTTACAAGTCCAATACAAGCATTTTCCTGCAGCTTCTTCACTTGTGACTTCTTTGCTCACAGTGTTCCAGTTGTTAGTACTTCCACGCTGCTCTTTATTGCAAAGAGCAGGGACCATGCCTTACTTTACTACTTCTCCCTCCTTTACACCTACAGGGAGCCAGATCACTAAGCAGAATAAATTTAATAGGAGTTAAAGAAAGATCCTTTAATGTAGTTACCACGAGGAAGATCGTTTAAAATACCTGCATGTTCTCAGTAAGATTCCCCCCCAGCCTTCTCTTTCACAGGGAGTGGCACTTGCTAATTTTCTGTCTAGTCCTACCATAAGCAGTACCACTGTAATCTCACTGAGTAACCTCTTGATCCTTCTCAAAGCTGTCACTACTATTTGTGTGTCTCACTGAGTAAACAGATGAAGTGATTACCAATAATGGTCGACTTCATCCTCATCATTTCAAGAAGAAGCAAAAGAAACCATGTTCTCGGATATATGACTGACATAGATTCTCATGAGTTGTATCACCAAAATGGACATGCCCTCCTAATATTGGTCTGCACTTACTAGTACAGATAATTCAGTCAGGGATATGATTTAACAATACAGCTGTTTTTAAACAATTTTTACAAATGCTAACTCAGGAAGGGAAGAACTTTTAGCTTCCATTGATCTCACTGATTGCCATTTGGAGAGGTGACGCAGGCATGTTAAAATGCAGCCACAGTCAATAATTACCTTTTAAATGGAGGTGACTGAAGTGGCCCTCTGAGGACACGTTGTGGGGTGAGCACTGTGCATCTCAGCATCAGGGATGTGGTTCCTGGGGGGCCTTTGGGGAAGTTTTGTAACTGCCAGCATTTCCCAGCCTTGTAATTTTGGACAGCAGCACACTGCGAGGTAAAGAGAGAATTAAAAAAACATCTTGTGGCTTAATAGTCACATGCTGAACCCTCTCTCCCCATTTTTGTTATGGGCAACCGCTGTAGTGGGTTACAGAGTCACTTCTCAGCAAGTAATTGGCTTTTAGGAAGAAGGCAGATTGAATTAAAAGCTATCTTTAAATGATTTCTGGGAGAAAACAAAAACATACAGTCTGCTGTTCTAACCAGTGTATGCTGCTGTATTTATAAGGCATTTTACCTTGCTTAGGAAATGTGGCAGCACACTGGTCATCCCAATAACAGTAAAAAGTGAGATCCACAGTCCATACAACAACTTTTTACCTGTGTCTTTGGGAGCCTGTAGGCAAGACTGTTTCATTGTCCTCATCTTCAGCTGAGAAGTGGGGTGGAATAGTGCACATGGATGCACTGGACCTATAAAAACTGGTGAATAGGAGAAGGCATGAAACATTTTCTGGTACACAGTCTGACTTCTTTCATGTTACACATTGCCAAGACCTACCAGCTCTTATTATTTAATAATTTAAATTATTAAATAATAATAATTTAATACCTTAACAGTAGAAAGAAATACCAGTTAAACAACTGAAATTAAAGTCATTGTGAGGAAAATCTGATGACAAGTAGAGTCCATCATGCAGGGAAAGGGACTACTGGCAACCGATGGATACAGAAGAGAAAAGGTTTTCTAGTCAGTTAATTCACAGTTCACTAATTCAGAAAAGAAATTCAGCAGCCCCTTTTTGCCCCATAACACAGAAGCTGCATGTTCATAGAGTCAGTCTGATACTATCAGACAAGATTGCTGGAAGTTCAGCAGAAGCTGCTGCTGTTATTTCAGCAACAACTTTTGTAATTAAGGCTTCGGAAGAGAATTGCTTCACTACTTGAGCAGTTCCAGTTGGCCAAATGTGATTTCTTTGTGGAGAACCAAGATGTGGAATTTGAAAGAATGTTTAAAAATGCAGATCTTTTTCCCTGTGTCCTGTGGCTGCCTGGAGGTTTCGAGAGCTCACCTGTTGAATGTCAAGTCAGGATTTAGACAAGTCAACTCCTGCTCTTATCCCTGCATTCCAATGGCACGTTTGTTTTCCATAGGCATGGCATGAGCTGGCCACTACATGAGGCACAGGGGACCTGCAGACAGGCTGGCCCTGCACCTCATGGGCAGGGTGAGGGGTGCTGATGTGCCCAAAGCCAGTCTGGATGTGCCAGAGAGCCAAGGTGGATGTGCTCAATTCTAAGAACAGGCACAGAAGCCAGTTTTACAAGCTTGGCCCCAAAATGGTGGAGTTTATCAATTGCAGAGAGATTAATTGCAGAGAGATTAGTTGCAGAGAACATAAATGGTAGAGAGAGCATTGTCCTTATTTTTTTTTTTGAACTGCAGCTGTGTGCAGAATGTTTCACTCCTGCTGATTTCAACAGTGCTTGAAACAGTGCTGGCAGCTTTACACTGGACAGAGGTTTGTAGCCCAGCTGCCAGCAATGCCTGGAGACCTGCTGCAGACTTGATACTGCTTTAGTGAGTAACAGGCATTCCTGGCAACACCAGCAATACTGCTTTCCATTGGGAATGAAAGAAAAGAAACAAGTGGAGGGACAGGCATGGAGGGGCATGTACATCCCCAGCATTACACAGTCATATAACTCACTTCACCCTGGTGTCAGCCTGCTGAAAGCCAAAGGAGAAACTGCAAGTGTCCACCAAGTCCTGGATTTTTGCCCTGGTTGCCTCCAGCAAGTTTGGGTACAGGCTTTGTCCTGAATGCTATGAGCCAGCATGGCCACTCCCTGTAGGCAGTGAAGAACAGATGCCCCTATGACAGGAGGCACAACCTAAGAAAAAGAAAGCCAGGTGTTCTCTGCTCACTGATTTTGGTTGTGCAAGTTCTTTTGAATTATTTGTAGCAATGCTGAATAACAAATAGAGACGCATTCCTTAAGATGATGTGTGAAATGCAGGAAAGCCTTAACCAGTAGAACAGCCTTAGGAGTTTGGTACACTCTGTTTTTGTGGAAAATCAGGGCCAGGTAAAGATTACTAAAATTGGCCTGGGATGCAGTTTTGTTTTCTGCCAGCTCTTAAAGATGCTGATCTCTTTTTACAGGAAGATTGTGGATAGAATAGATGACAACAAAGACGGCTATATCACAACAGAGGAATTAAAAACCTGGATTAAACGAGTACAGAAACGCTACATCTATGAAAATGTGGCTAAAGTTTGGAAAGACTATGATTTAAACAAGGATGATAAAATTGCCTGGGAAGAATACAAACAAGCCACATATGGTTATTATCTAGGTAAGAGAACAGATTGTGTGATCAAGGATTTTTGAGATTATAAAATATGATTTCTTGCCTTGCAGTCAACTGGAGTTTGGTGTCACATTTAGGACTCTTGAAGCTCACATTAAATTTTATAGATGCTCAGAGGTCAAAAGCACTTTTTAGTTATTTATTGCAGCCCTTTGCACATGGGTCACCAGCACACAGAAGGTTTTGTAGAGGTATCATTAAATATACTGACACAGCTGAATAAAGTCTCCTCCAGTTAGAAATATATTATTTTTTAACATTGAAAAGGGTACTTTAATTAAAAAATAATATATTGTCTAATTAACTGTATTTGTGAATTTAGTCTCTAAAATCTTAAGTCTAGATGTTAAAAATTTAGTCCGTGTCTAAGCTATAGCAAAGTTATTGATTAAAATCATTCTTGCAGAATAACATGCTTCAGACTGTGATCAACAGCAAATGAAAATCCTTAACAAATCAGGCAAAAGAAACATTTGTTAAAAAATATACCTGAATTTCCCCCCCACCTCCACCTTCCCTTTGCTTTTATAAGTTAATAAAGGAAGAGGAGGAAAAGAGATCACTTAAGCTAAAGGGCAATACTGACAGAGCAACAAATCACTATTAATTGACCATTTATACTTACTGGAAATGAGAATACAATATTTAACTACCACAGAAGCAGTTTGTAGAGCAAGCTTCCTGTAGCAGTAATAATTCCAAAGTCTACCTTAGATTTAAATGGAGCTTGTTACATTTGTGAAAAGAAATATTTGACATGCAGTCCCTGCAGAATTATCCCTGGAACCCTTCTCAGCCCTTTGTCCTTGCTCCCTATAAGCCCCAAGATTTGGAGAGCAGCATTGTGGGCTTGTATTAATGAATACTTAAAATTCCCATCTGTAATTCCCAGCCCAGTCTTTTTCACCTGTGTTTGTCTCCCAACACATGAATTGCGAAATTGTTATGAGTATTTTTCATTTTTAAAGTCAGTTTAATTACCCTATTTTAAGAATTATATCAAATATCATTCCTTTTATGCCACTGAACGCTCTGAAAAAATGCCATTGTTTTAAACTGAAAAGAATTGTTAGGTTCCCTGTAGCAGAGGCGTAGCACTGACATAATTTCAGTCAGTCTGCCACCTTCTGAAAACACATTTCCTTGGTTTGCTCTTCTTCAAACTGAAAAGTTGTGTGGGTCATATTGATTCCTAAAGAAGAAGAAAACTTCTGGGAATGAAGTCTACCCTAAACATTGCTTCAGTGGTGCTTGTAAAGGCAGATAAAAAAAATCTGTGAGGGATAATATATAATACTGCAAAATCCATTATTCTGCATTGCAACAGAAGGCTTGCTCAGAAATTTACCTCTACTACTTATTTGCCTCTACTGTCACCTTTAAAAATCAAACCAAGTACTTGACCCCTGAATTTAAAACTTCACGAGGAAGAGAATTTCCATTTAGAACAACAGCTATTCTGGCAATAAAACTTCTTATTTCTAGACTCAGACAGCATTGTTTTGCTAGTATGTCTTAAAGGAAAACACCTCTGAGATCATCTTGATTCATTTGCAGAAAATCCAGAAGAATTCCAAGATGCAACTGATCAGCACAGTTTTAAGAAAATGCTGCCCAGAGATGAAAGACGATTCAAAGCTGCAGATCTGGATGGGGACTTGGCTGCCACTCGTGAAGAGTTCACTGCTTTCCTGCACCCAGAGGAGTTTGAGCACATGAAAAACATTGTTGTCTTAGTAAGCAAAGCAAGATCAATGCTGTTGTTTCTACTTTCATGGGTGAACTTTGAAGGCTTCTCTAACCTTTCCAGGCAGGGTTTAGAAAGAGACACACACATAACAGCTAAGTGGGGAACAGAAAATGGTACCTTTCATGATACTCACTTGGTTTAGGAGTCTCAATGTAACAAAGACTTTTTAAGTGCACTTAAATGGCTCCTAAATGGAATCAAGAAACAATCTTGGGGCACAGAGAATTTTATTTCAAATCAAAATAAAAGGAGGGCATGCTGATATGCAGCAGCTGAGTGTTTCATGCAAGCAGGTATCTGCCACTAACATAAGCAGTTCATTCATATGGGGAATTCTTTCAACATGAAAGGATATTTGTATATTCATTGTGTAAACAGCAGTCCCATTGGGTTTAGTGAGACTATATTCACTTGTGTGCAGGGACAGGTCAAGGCCTCAGAACGTTAAATGATCAAAAGCAGGTAGTCAGAGCTCTGTTTTTTCTTGATTACCTTCATGCAAAATTGTTTTCCAGGAAACCTTAGAAGACATAGACAAAAACGAGGATGGTTTCGTGGATCAAGATGAATACATTGGTAAGTATTGTTACTTGTTTCTTATATAATCTCCAGTCTGTTTTTTCAGTTTTTTCATCTACTCTCAGATTTGCAGCAGCATTAACAACCCAAAGTGAACAGTTCTGTGTTCCAGCTCAACTATTTTATACCAACCATCCAACTCAGTCATTTTAGGTATATAGCAACATGACCAGGAATTTTCCTCATGCTTCACAACACAAAATTATCCTCTTGTTCTTATTTAACTCAGCTAAGAGATACATGAGAACAAAATAAGAGAATCTGGAATAATATTTTTCATGGCAGGGATATTCTTTGTATATCACACCATGTTAACTGCTGTTTGAACACTGTTTAGAAATGCAGGAGGATCAGAAAATGAACTGATCTTTTCCCAAATTTGGATGGTTCTCAAATATCCAAAATACTTGGGAAGCAAGCATTGCAAAAAGAGAAAATACACCTTGTTCCTTCTAGGTTTTTTTCCTATTTTAATTAGTAAGTAAACCCCATACTTCTGTACTGATGATACCATTGTATTTTGATGAGTTTTAAATCCAGAAAGTAGCACTAAGAAGGCATTAGTGCAAAGTTGGATGAAGCTTTCTGTTTCTAGTGGTGCTATAAAGATCACTTCACATAGAATCAGGAACAATATATACACGCTAATTAATGGCAGGGGATTCTGTTCCTTGTAAATTATATTTAGCCCAGAAAGTGAATGCTATTCATCTATGACTGAAATAACAGAGCAGCATAATTTCCACAGTAATTTCAGTTCATTCAGTGACATTACCTACATATAATTATAAGGTAATTGTCAACATTTGTTACCATGTGAATGCTGGTTTTTCTTGTCTTCTATAGATAGGAACATAGAATGTTCTAGTCACGATCACCCCACATTGGCAAGGATGATAAAAATCAAATTGACAGGACATGTCAGTTGCTTCAAATAAACAATATAATTTGCGCTTTAAAAAATGAAAAAAGAAAGTGAATGTGTTGTCTGAAGTTTTCTTCCTGAGTTGAGAAAACTATGCTTAAAATATTCCTGCTTTCCTTTTTCAGATGTAATTTTTAAAAATTTTGATGAAGTTGGGATTAAGAAACCAACAGGAAACTAAATAATTTCGTTGGTAGTTTATGAGGAACAACAAAAAGAAGTCCAGAAATTTCAGTCTCTAGATGGAGTATTTGTTGGGGAAATTTGCTGAAGCTTACAGAATGATCTACCCTCCTTTCCCTTCTTTCCTCCCATTTTGTCTTTTACAAAATTTGGTTTAGATTTACACAAGCAAAATACCTATAAACTGTTGAGCAGAGAGAACTAAACTCGCAGTGCACATGGGCAGGTAACAGAGTATTTCAGGGACACTCGGGACAGTGACAATGGAGAGCTTCAGCCCAGTGTACAGCCCAATGTAATAACCAGGGGGTTATTCCTGCCTTTGAATTCAACATTTATGTTTCTCACAGATACCAGCCAGCCTCTGATCCTCACACTATCCATGTGGGTACACTTTTCCTTAGCACATTCCTGAAAACCAAATCCAAAAGGCACTGAAGAGGAGAGGAATAGTAGCACAAAGCAGGCTTTAATTCTAAATAGAGAAGTGGAAGGCTTGAGGAATAAGATGAGTAGGAAGGAATTAGTCACAGTGACCAGAAGAATGACACAGATGAACCACTCATGATTTGGAAAGCCCTGTGATATAAAGAACATTTAGAAGTCAGTTGGGTTTAATAATCATTGCTGCTCTCTTGTGTTTATGCAGAAAGCAGCTGCCGCTGTGGTGTGGTCCTACCAGTGCTTCCAAAATGTAGCACAGGAGTGATGTGCAGAGCAGTTCATGTGTGTAATCTGTGCACCCTGTCACAAACAGTGCTCCCTCCCCAGGTAGCAGTCTCTGACAAGTGCACTGTGCCTGTGGCTCCTCACAGAATGCACCATGACTCCTGACTTCTCCAGCTCTGTCTTCCTGGAAGAGTGTCTTCTGCTGGAATGTGCTGTAGCACTGCATGGTTAAAAGGGAACTGATATACTAAGCTGAATGTCTCTTATACAGACTTCTCTAAAAGCAGTACAAACGCATGTAGGTTCCATTTAGCAGTTTTTGTTTGCCTAAATTCCCCCAGTGTCTTTTTTTCTGTAACCACTCTGCTGGCTGGAGTCTGATCTTATCCACAAAGACATTTGCTGGCAGGGACGAGATAAAATGGCCGAGTTCCTTCCTTCCCATGTGACAGAGCCTAGCACTAAAGCTTAAGACTGCTGTTCAACCAAAGAGCCATCGAGGATTTTGTTGATTCTGAAATCCAGATGATGGCCTTTGAGCAGGTTCACCTCTCCTGTTAGCCCCAACAGCAGTGCACAGGTGTGGTACAGGGTAGTGTGAGAATGGGCAGAATCACCAGCAGAGAAGAAATAGGCCTGAGAGAAGATACAGCTACTCTATTTACATCCCACATTTCTTTTTCTATAAGAGACACTGTGAAAGAGTGAAAAGTTCAGTCCCCTCTGAGGAACGCTGGGAAAGTATCTTTAGTTTGTACTTAATTTGCAAAGTAAATAGGACTCAAGTAAGACCCTTATTTCCTCTCCAGCTGATATGTTTGCAAATGAAGAGGGTGGACCAGAGCCTGACTGGGTGATTACAGAGCGTGAGCAGTTTTCAGATTTTCGTGATCTCAACAAGGATGGAAAGATGGACAAAGATGAGATCCAGCACTGGATCCTCCCCCAGGACTATGACCATGCCCTAGCTGAAGCCAGGCACTTAGTCTATGAATCTGATGTAGACAAGGTATGTGGTGCTCCAGTATTGTTTCTGAAGAAGTTATATAAGGTCTTGTGGGTTTTTTAAAATACCAGCTTGCAAGAAATTATTCTTAATAACTTTTCTTTAGAGTCCAGAATTGCTAGTGGAGTAATGCTTTCATACCAGTTTCAGTGGGTATTGTTAGAATTACAAAGTAGCAAAATACAGTTTGTCAGCTCTAGAAGGTCCTCTGGCTTTCAGTGATGGGAAACTATCATCTTAAGCCTGGACATTTTAACACAGCAAAAATACTCTTTTTCCTTTAAGACTGGTCATGACTTTGGTATGTTAATATACACTAAAAGAGGAGAATAAAGCTACATTTAGATATCCCTTGTACTGAAATGTAGGAGTAGAAAAACCACTCTCAGTTCTATATTCAAGCACATATCTTTCACTTAAACACTTGCTGTGATGAGGGACAGTATATTCCTGATGGTGGTCTTCAGAAGTGTAATGCAAGTAAAGTTGGAACCTGGAAGCCAAAATACTCTGAACACAGAAAGTGTAAACTGCTAACATAAGCAACCACCTTCCACAAAGTGCACCAGAGGATTTTTGTTTTTACAGTCAAGAAGATGAAACAAACCACAGGGCAAAACAGTGTACCAGGTAATCCACTTTAACCTACTGTTGCTACTGCTTGGCATTACAAAGAACTTTCAGTTAGCAGTTTGACCTACCTGGAGCCTGTGGGACTTCTGTCTTCCACTGAGGTCCAAATTTCACTCACTGTGACAGCTACATATGATTGCTGAACCTGCAGCCTGCTTATCTGTTTCCCAGGGCTCTTGCAAGTCTGTGCTGGTGTGTCTTTCTGACTTAGTTTTGCAAATATTCTTACAGAGGTTTTTTTTTTTTCCTCCTACCAGGATGAAAAACTAACAAAAGAGGAAGTTCTAGACAACTGGAATATGTTTGTTGGAAGTCAAGCTACCAATTATGGGGAGGATCTCACGAGAAACCATGATGAACTATGATACAGTGTCCCAGCCAGTGTGCCAGACATCTTTCCTCCACTTTACTGAAATCACCGTGTCCATTCCCTCCTGGAGGGAAGATGGGCAGCAGACACTCACAACTGAATGACTTGCATTAATATTATTTTTAACATGCCAGCTTATTACCTCAGAATCAATGTAGAAATAGCTTTTTTACTCTTTTCACATGGTTAAATTTGGTATGTAGTTACTACAGTTTTATTTTTGAAAAAATAAGGTAAATTTTCAGAATAGGTTAGAGCCTGACATGGAAAAGGAACTTCTAAAAACATTGCAAAAATCTTTTGTATCCAAGTATTTTCTTCAAATACCCACTTTCACCACAGTGAAATGCACCTAGGATTAGAACCCTAATGTTTAAACAGACTTAAGTTATTTAGTTGTCTTTTCTAATAGCATGTAACAGTTTAGAGGTAACCCTTTGAGCCTCCTACCCAGAGAAGGGTTTGATACCTGCTTTGTCTCCAGGCAGTTTCTGTGTGCCAGTTGGGTCAGTGCTGCTGCAGGAGTTTCCAGCAGCTCCCCAGCTCCTGCTTCAGTGTGCAAATGCACAAGTGGTCCTTGTCCCTGACCCTGGCATTTCCAGCCAGGGATGCAGAGCCCAGCCTGGCAGCTGCTCCTTCCACAACCCTTGGCCCTGCTGCTTCCTGGGAGGAACTGTGCCACATGGAGCATAATTTATCTCCTGCTTTTCACACTTCACCCCAGCCCTACTCTTGTTCATGCTGTGTGAATGGCAGCAGTTCTGTGATGGAGAAAGAATGAGACATATCACCCCTCTGGGCCTTCTGTCTCCTCTGCCACTACGAGGACAGATTCTTGTGCCTGAAGTTCTGGGTTTGTGTGTATATACCTTTAAGTACATGTTACTGAAACAACTCTAAAGACAGCTCTCCTTCCAAAAAAGGGGGGAAGCTTTCCACACAGGTGCTTTCTTTCTTACTGTATAATGTGAGTTGTTACATGTATATTTTTATATAAACAACTTCTCTAAGGTTTTGATTGTTTTTAACTGTACTGGTTTTAAAATAAGGACAATAAAACCAATACTTCTTTTTGATACTGTGAAGGTGCAATAACACTAACACAGATTAGCAGAGAGGTGATGTGAAAACATAAACCAAGCCTCTAAGGCCAGTAGTTACCAAAGCACTGGGATGGTCATTTCCAAAAGCATCTGGACATAAAGCCCCAACTGTTCTTTGTTGCCTCATTAAATAAAAAGAAAAGCCAAAAAGAAGTGTAGTATGCATAGCCAGAATAACCAGAATTTGTTCTGGACACTAATACTGGGAGATAGGACTCCACAGAAGCATTCTCTGGGAGGTTCCTGGAAGGTTTGGTGTAAAGCATCACACCCTGGTCCCGTAACCATCCAGAGGGGACCTTTGAGACTCTGAGATGTTCCTGCAGTTCAACACGTTTGTGAAAATCATCGGGAGACAGGGCAGAACTGTGACCTCTGTAAACAGTATCATTTTTATAAGGTCATACAAGAACAGTGGTGGAATATTTTACATCTTACAGTTGAAGATAATGAAATGTAAATTGCTGAGTCTGATAGAGATTACATGTCACTACTGCTAAGTAGTGGTACCACTAAGCTTTTGGGGTGCACGTCTCGTGACATTGCCAGCAATGTCTCTGAAAAATCCCCACCTCGCCCACTTATGGCTAACATACAGTAGGGCAAATGTCATAAAAGTGAACTAGTTTTGCTTTTACAGTACCCTCAAGTTAAATAAGAGCCTAAATGCCATGTTATCTGGGAAGCAATAAAATTGTATCTTGGCACATGTAAATGATTATATATTTTCTTTATGGCTTGGATTTGGAAAGGTTTACTGTACTCAATAATCCTGACAATCTTTATCAAACTAACATATTTTGCTAACAGATTTTCAGTAGTCTCTGTGTACTCAGATTATCTTCTGCTGTTTCAGGAAACAATACCTTAAAAGACCTAAAAATCCTGCTTGTTTCCTGCAAGTGAAACTGCAGCTCAGACTGGATGGTAAGCCAAGGATTTTCACTGGAGCCCAGGGGAAGGTTGTTTGTTCACTCTTGTTGAAATTCAGTGGGAGTTGGGTGCTGAGACACTAAGCATTGTTGCCCTCAGCTAAACATGACACTTCTGAGTGCACTGTGCACCGTCCCAACAAAAAAACCACATCTGTGCTTTGACAAGCAATCACATTTTCTTCCACATTACTAAATGAATCTGGAACAGAATTAGCAGCACGCAAGAGAAAAATTGTGTTCTCGTATTTGTTCTTGATTCCTGTTACTGCTTGGAACACATTGGTATTTTCCAGGATAAAACTGTACTTACATGAGTAAGAATGCTGAAATCAGAGTTTTTCACACAAACAGGAACTGAAAATTTAGATCCATAAAAATATTTTCTTTTTTTTCCCAAAAGAATGATACTCAGGTAGCATATATCCAGCTAGGCAAAAAGCATGCCAATTAGAATTGGCATGTTTAAAGAGGTTTAAAATAATAAAGTTATTTATCAATAGTGGGTTATGGGATCATATTAAGATTAGTAGTTTTTTTCAACAAAGCAGAATGTAGAAAGGGTTTTAGAGAACATAAATCTCCCTGATTTGATTTCATTTTAAAGGCTCCCCTGTTTTTGCAGTTCTCCATGGTGCTTCTCTTACCAACATTCAGTAATGGCACAGTACATTCCATGCACTAAATTTCCCTTTCAAGCTCAATGCACTATGGAAGAGTAACTCCAAAAGAGACTAGAGCTTCTGGGTTTAAATTTAACACTATTTAAGGAAAGCAAACCTTTGCTAGGGGATATAACTGCTAACATTGTGATTTTTCAAACCTAAGGTTTCTAATGGAGTTTGACTGTTCCAGAGATAACATTTTTTTTCCTAGGTAACATATTTCAACTCCTATTATGAGCAAATGTTACAAAATTTTAGTGTAATGTGAAATACTGAAATGTCAGATAGCATTATTTATCTTCTTAATATGACTAAAACCATTAATTGCTGGGAGCCATACTTCATCCCAGCAACATGGAAATCCATTTTGTGCCTATCTTGTCAGTTATTGCCAATTTTCTTAATCAATTGTGACACATTGAAATTCTGTTGGGAAGCATGTTTATATATTTCCAACTGCAGATTCTGTATGGTAACTTATATAGATCCTCCATTAACTCAGTGTTTTCACCACCAGCCTGTGCCACAATATATCAAAGGTGCATTTTTCTTACTTAGATATCTGGAATAGCCATTATTATTGCCCATGCAGTTTAAATGATTGGAATGTATTAAATGAGCTAAGTGGCTAATGTTCATTGTCTTATAATTCCATTTAATGATTCAGTCAGGTTGAATCTGTCTCCTATTCCAATAAAAGGGTCTGTACATAACGCCCTAGAGAAAGGAGATCACAGCCCATACTGCTCTTGTTCCACAAGTACGTTACAATAGTTGCATAATGTTTTAATATTTGTTCTGCAGAAGCTGATCTTGATCCCAGTGAAGTTATCATGAACTCCTAGTTCTAAGGAGTATGAGAACTACTCTAAGGCCTACTCTAAGGCCTTGGCCACCCAAAGGCAAGCAGAACAATGGAGTGATGGGACTGGAGGTCAGAAATAACCTTACAACCATCAGATCCTGATCTCCGTGCTATTACTGAGCACTAACATTTAGGGATTGGACTGATTCATGCTCCTGTGGGATAGTTGGGGTGTAAGTGTAGTTCATGGAAGGCAGTGTGTAAAGTCTTACTGGTCTGCTCAGGGAGCCTGAAGCATTTTATTGAGTCATGGTGGCATCACCCTTAGCAAACGAAGTGAGTTTCACAGGGTGACAGAAGGATCTACAAAAGAGGATTTCATAGCAAAAAATTTTGCAAAACCTGACTTGGCCTCTAGCCAAGCACTTGGGAGCCTCTGCCACCTCTCTTTTCGTGCCTCCAGTTTAGCTGTGCCATGTTCCAACAAGCATACCCTTATTAACCATATTCACCAGTCTCAAAGGGAGAACTGAGCATTATTTCCCACTGAAGTTTCAGGCACCAGTAAGGCTGATGTCCCTGAGACTCAAGTGCTGTATAGATTATTCCAGTCATGATGGATTTCAAAGCAACCTCAGAAGCACAAGCCACCAGCTTTCCCCTAGAGTGAAACAGTGAACAAGGGGCACAACAGCCCATTTCACACCTGCATTCTGCCTCCTCACAGGATAAAGGAAGGAATAGCATTTCTTCACTATGGCAGCGACAAGGATAGAGTTGTCCTGGTATGCATTAAAATTCCCATTGATAAGGTAGGGACAGCCATCCTCAGCATAAGAGTTGGCTCTCAGGGCAGCAGAGCTCAGTTTCATATACAACACATTAGTTGTTTGCCCTGTGGAAGAATTTATTTCATAACCATAAAGGGTCCAAATATGGTCCGGCTGGCTAACTTCTGAAGTTTTGTTTTTAAATGAATTATTTAAAAATGTTTCTTAGCTAGCCTTATTTGTAAAGCTGGCCACATTTGTGGTCTGGAACTAGCACATACCTGAAATTCCAGAACAGCTGTACAGAACAAGTCATGGCTCGATCCCAAATTTGAGTACTAATTAGAATGAGTACTATTAGAATCTGAGTACTAATTAATGGGGACACATACATTAGAAATTACAATGTTCCATCATATCAACAAGAATTTAGATATGCATCGAGATGTATAGGAAATATTTTCTTTATATGGGAATAGCCCTGACAGCATTTAAAAAGGACCAATGGGAGTACTAAAGTTAAAAAATTAGTATGACTTTTGAAAATGTACCTTGAAGCAATTACTGTGCTTACTGAACTCCCAGGAGCCTGATGTCCTCAGGGCTTCTCAGGACTACCTTCTGTTTGGATAAAAGTCAGAGAATTTAATGTTTCAGGAAGAAATAAAAGTGGGGATGAGCTTTGATCATTAGATCAACTGTAATGTAACACAGACACACAAAACATAATATTGATGAGATGGACAGGTCAGAGACATCCCCCCAAATGACACCCAGTGCCCACCTCCAGCTTTAAATTTGAATATGGCTTTCACTGCACCACACAGGTTGCTGGGACACAAAAGGAAGGAATGCTAGTTGAGAACCCATAAAATGACAAGTGCAACAGATTTCAGATGGTAAAACTTCCTGAAATCTTTACATGGTAACATGTAGGCACGACATTTTAAAATCATAGGGAGCGTCTTTTTTAAAGAATGAATTCACAAGGAAATTCCATGGGCAGCAGGAATGAAGCAAAAAGAGTGCTGGGGAGGTATCCTTCTCTTCATTCCTGCTCTTAGTTTAGCAGATTTTGCATCAATTCCTTTGCCTTTTTTCTTTGTGCTTAAATTTTAAATTCGATTAACAGTACAGGTGTAACATTTCTGGGAAACCCCAAACCTCCCCAAATCGCTGATAACTGATAACTTTTAATTGTTTTCTGCCAGAGAAATGAAGTTTTCACAGCTATTACATCTGTTCCAAACTGAATACAGCAAAGTATTTTTAAACAATCAATTAAAAAACTCCACAAATACAAGGGACTAAAAAAGTATGATTCCATTATTCCCATATATACTTATAATTTTAAATATATAGAACCTGAAACAGACTTATTTAGGGTTATACTGAGTTGGAATATTTATTTTCCTACAAAATAATTAAAAAGTTAGCTGTATACCAGAAAAATATTTGTATACTTGCAGGCTAGAGAGTACAGTTTTCATGGAGACATTAAATGCAGTTACTTACACTTAAGTTTAGTCAAACTGCCAAGTATTTCCTGCATGGTTCTTTCTCTAAGGTAGCGTGTGACCTATTCCTGAGCTACCATTCAAACCCCATGGCTCTGTGCCAAGGCTGCCTACTCAGCTTCTTAATAAAAATATCTAATTTAGATCAGCTCTACACGTGGTACATGTTCTGAGCGTGGAGTTTGGCAATTTACAATCATCACAAACCCGTTATGAAATTATTTCAGTATTAAAGGACCTTTTTTAAAGCCTTGTTATCCACTTGCAGTAGACAAGGGACAATTCTGTAGACATCTGAATGGATGTGATAATTTATTTTTCCTCTTTTGCAAGGAAATCCATTTTCTGCACTTGTTACTCCAAAGCTGGCAAAAAGTAAACTTGCATACAAGATGTTAAAATAGGTCCACAGGGATAGGAAACTTGGGGGTAAAGTAGGTTTTCCCCTGAATCAGACTCTACTCATGGTCCAGCTTTGCAGAGAATTTTCTAGGCATGTAGCTGTGATGTAAATAAACAATAGTTTAATAGTGGAAACTTGTGTCCAAAATGCAGCCAACAGGGACAAGTAGGGCCCTTCCACTGTGGCTTCAGAAGGTGCATAAAGCAGCCAGTGCAAACACCCCTCTTTATATTCCTGCATCCCTTCATAACACACACAAACACAGCTGAAATGAAACAGGCAAGATGAAGAGCAATAAGAAACGACATGAAATACTGCCTTTAAAATCTACTTTATTCAACTGGAAACAAAACATTTTAAAAGGTGATAATGCTCTAAAAGCTATTTAACTCACCAGCCAAATCAAACTGACCAAAATCTAATTTATTCCTTGTCTTGTTTAGCAGATGCTTAAAAGATCAATATAGTTGTCTCTGTAGATCGACATGAAATATTAACCAGCCTGAGTGTTCTGAAGCTTTTTACAACATATTCAGCCTCATTAAACATTAAGCAGCCTTGAAATATAAATATAAAATAACTATCAGCTTCCTATCCTTCAGACACAGAACAAAGGTAACTCA